AAGGTCCATTCATAACTCTTGAGTTTTGACAAAAGGTGATATCTGGAAGATTAATAAGTGTTTAAGAAAACATTTAGTAAGCTTGTCCTGTATTCCTACACAAAGAGTATAACAGCAATATATTCCATAAGAGTAAAGTAAAATAAGTAAAGTTATTCCAAGTAAACTAAATTAGAAAGCTTTTCATGAACTGGGCAGCTGTTGGAATTAAACTGATATGGGGTTGTACTGAATATAATGTGCACAGAATTAGAATACTGGTCCAGATAATTACATTGCCCATCTCTCCTCTTGTTTCTTCTGAGCAGCAGTCAGAGATCATTGGTTGGTTCACAGGACTAAGCAGGATTAGCCTAAATTGCAGAAACAAACTTAAAAACGACTAATGAGACTAGAATTTAATAACGAGTGTACCATAGTTCTTGAAACATAATATTTCTCTCTCCAGTTTCCCATTTTTACTAAAGACAAATCATGGTAAGATTGATTTCCTTTATTATACTTGGCCTGATTATTTGTATAAAGCATAGCAAGAATAATTATTTTTCACACAGGCTCTTTTTAAATTGGCTTTAATGGAATTCTGCTCCATAGAAGAAATCTTAGATAAGACTTTACAAAGCCATGCTTGGCCATGGGTTTTTACCCTCAAATACCTATGAATTTAGCAAATTCCTGACCTCTTGGGGTCCCGAGATAACTTGGAACTTCTGGATCTGTCAGAAAGTGACATTCTTTACTGACCACAGGTTGGAGATCCTGTACAGGGACTGTTGCAGACAAGATCTGAGGCCAGTTCTCCAAGAAGCTTTTATTGGCTTTATAAGTCAAGTTTGATTCCTTAAAAGGAAGCATACCATTGCAGTTAAAGCCTTGGTAAAACAACTAATTTCTAAATAATGTCCTGTTACAAAAGAAAGCAGATTCTTATTATACTTATGCAAATAACTATATTACCATAAGTTAAGAATACTCACAAATAGTTTTCAAATTTTGGAAAAGTCAGGTAGAGAGAAACAAATAAGCTCTAAATTTTGTTCACTCGACTATACTTTACTCAATTGCTAAAAGCTGTAAATAGCTCAAAAACAAAGTTTCCTTGACTCTGATATTCATGAACATTCCAACTTTTCATGAGAGTTCTAAAAGTTGTTTCCTCTATTCTGATGTTACCATTTCCAAAGGTAAACCTGCATTTAGGAATACCTGCTAGAGTGCTACAGTTGATTATAAACCACCTTCTAAAGAGGATTAGAACAAGAAAACAATTGTGGATGATAAAAAGTTTTAGGACAGCCACTATTAAAGCCACAATTGGCCAGGCACAGTGGCTCATACCTGTAATCCCAGAACTTCGGGAGGCTGAGGAGTGTGGATCATGAGGTCAGGAGATCGAGACCATCCTGGCTAACACAGTGAAATGCTATCTCTACTAAAAATACAAAAAATTAGCCAGGTGTGGTGGCATGCACCTGTAGTCCCAGCTACTCAGGAGGCTGAGGCAGGAGAATACCTTAAACCCAGGAGGTGGAGGTTGCAGTGAGCCTAGATTGCACCACTGCACTCTAGCCTGGGTAACAGAGCAAGACTTTGTCTCAAAAAACTTCTGTGACACACAAAATTTTACATAACAATTATAATTGTTAATAACATATGCTTTCTAGCCTATAGGACTCCTAAAAAAAAAAAAAGAATAACATATGCTAAGTCATATTAGAATTAAAGGAGTTTCCCATCACTTTGGAACCAATTACATTTAAGCAAGTATAGTCCAGAGAGAGCAAAACACCATTTCACATTTGGTAATGCTTCCTGTAAGATTTTTATACCAAATAAGCCAAATTTTACCTTTGCATTAGTGTACTATTAATGTTAAACCCAATTTTTAGTAAAACCTTATAGACATATTTACCCAATTTTATTGTTTAACCATAAGGTAAGAGTCTTATAAACCTTGTATAACCCTTTACATTTTGTGTGTGTTTGTGTGTATGTGTGTGTGAAAAAGCAGATCAGTGCTCTAAGAAAAACCTGTACTTTTTTTTTTTTTTTTTTTGAGACGGAGTTTCGCTCTTGTTGCCCAGGCTGGAGTGCAATGGCGCGATCTCGGCTCACCGCAACCTCCGCCTCCTGGGTTCAGGCAATTCTCCTGCCTCAGCCTCCTGAGTAGCTGGGACTACAGGCACGCGCCACCATGCCCAGCTAATTTTTTGTAGTTTTAGTAGAAACGGGGTTTCACCATGTTGACCAGGATGGTCTCGATCTCTTGACCTTGTGATGCACCCGCCTTGGACTCCCAAAGTGCTGGGATTACACGCGTGAGCCACCGCGCCCGGCCGAAAAACCTGTACTTTTATCACGATGTTTAATTTATGGAAAAACTGAATAATACCCCTTTAACTTTAGCCAATATGTTCACACATGGAATCTCTTACAATTAATTTTTATAAACCTTCCACGACTTGTGAAACCTTTAGATTTTTTTTTTTACTTAAAACAATCCATTAACACTTAATTGTAGGTAGAAAAAAATCCACATTCCCATGACTTCTTATAATCTTTCACCAAAAACACATTTTACTTTCTTTATATACCTTGCATGTAAAATTGTTTCTTTAGTAGTTTTAATTACATGTTATAATGTTAACTCTTGGCAACTTTTATTTTTGGTGAAAACTTTGGTAAGATTTTTTTTTTTTTTTGGTGAGCTGGAGTCTCACTCTGCCACCCAGGCTAGAGTGCAGTGGCGTGATCTTGGCTCACTGCAACCTCCACCTCCCGGGTTCAAGCAATTCTCCTGCCTCAGCCTTCTAAGTAGCTGGGACGACAGGCGTGTGCCACCATGCTTGGCTAAGTTTTGTATTTTTAGTAGAGACAGCGTTTCACCGTGTTAGCCAGGATGGTCTCAATCTCCTGACCTCATGATCCTCCTGTCTCAGCCTCCCAAAGTGCTGGGATTACAGGTGTAAGCCATCATGCCCAGCTGGTAAGAGATTTTAATTGTGTACTAGGTGTGGAGCCTAGCCTAGGACACACCAGGCAACACTGCAGGTAAGGACTGACTCTCCAGCATAGCTAGGGGCATGGCTAACTCCACATGTCCACAGGCCTCACCCTTAAGCAGACAAGTTGTACAGTAAGAATCACAGTGGCATTTTATGAAGCATTTACGAGGCCTATCAATCTGTGAACTATACAACATTTCTTTCATAAAATCCCTTTCACTAATCCTTTCACGACTTAACACAGACCATCTGAGACAATATGCACATCTAGTCCTACTCTCTGGATCCCAGCAGTTTCTAAGTTTCAAGAAGGAATAAATTTTATGTTTTTCTTTTTTTCCAAGTGACTAAGCATATGTATGAATGCATGGGGGATGCTCTGTAAATATTTGTGAAAGAAATGGAGAGAAGGGAAAACAGGAAGGAGAGACCAAAAGAAGGGAAGGGGAAGGTGGAGAAGAGAAGAGAACTGGAGGGAAAGGAAGGTGAAGGGTAAGGTAAGAGACGGAATCTGAGGGAAGGTTTGGGAGAGAAGAAGCACTGACAAGCTGCTGATCATTCAATCAGGTTACTTCCTGAGCAGTCTGCTTCCCTGAGGAAGCAGTTATGTAGTAATTAAGTGTTATGCAGCAATTAAGGGCTTGGAGCTGTAAATTGGGCGAGACCTGCATTTAAGTCCCACTTAGGGCAAATACCTTCCACCGGTAAAAATAGTGCCACCCCGCTGGGCCTGGTAGCTCACGCCTGTAATCCCAGCACTCTGGGAGGCCAAGGCAGACGGATCACTTGAGGTCAGGAATTTGAGACCAGCCTGGTCAACATGGTGAAACCTCATCTTTACTAAAGTACAAAAAAATTAGCTGGGTGTGTACAAAAAAATAGCTGGGCATAGTGGCGCACGCCTGTAATCCCAGCTACTTGGGAGGCTGAGGCAGGAGAATCACTTGAACCCTGGGGGTGGAGGTTGCAGTGAGCTGAGATCCAGCCACTGTACTCCAGCCTGGGCGACAGAGTGAGACCCTGTCTCAAAAGTAAATAAATAAAATAACATAAATAAGCCGGGCGCGGTGGCTCAAGCCTGTAATCCCAGCACTTTGGGAGGCCGAGGCGGGTGGATCACAAGGTCAAGAGATCGAGACCATCCTGGTCAACATGGTGAAACCCCGTCTCTA